ACATCCTGAGGGTACTAGTCAATGGCTCAGAGTCTTGATGGTCATCAGTAAAAAGTGGTGTCCCTCAGGGATCTATACTGTGACCATCCCTCTGTAGTGTCTTCATTATTCAAATAAATGAATGAATTGAGTGCACCCTCAGCAAATTAGCAGGTGACACCAAGCTGAGTGGGGCTGTTGGCAGTTCTGAAGGATGGGATGCCATCCAGAGGGACCTGGACAAGCTCGAGAAGTGTGTCCATGGGAATCTGATGAGTTTTAACAAGACCAAGTGCTGGTGCTGCACCTGGGTCAGATCAACCCCTGGTATCAGCACAGGCTGGGCATGAACAGCCCCAGAGCAGCCCTGCCCAGAAGGGCTTGGGGGTGCTGTGGGTGAGAGGCTGGACATGCCCTGGCCATGGCACTCCCAGCCCAGAGAGCCAAACGTGTCCTGGGCTGCATTCAGAGCCCCGTGGGCAGCAGGGCAGGGAGGGGATTCTGCCCCTCTGCTCTGCTCTGCTCAGACCCACCTGGAGCACTGCATCCAGAGCTGGGGGTATCCAAGATAGGAAGGACTTGGACCTATTGAAACAAATCCAGAGGAGGCCAAGATGATCAGAAGGCTGGAGCACCTCTCCTATAAGGCAAGGCTGAGAGAATTGTTTTTGTCAGCCTGGAAAAGAGAAGGCTTAGATGTGACCTAATTGAGATCCTCTGGTACCTGAAGGGAGTCTCCAAAAAAGAGAGAGACTTTTTACAAGAGCATGTGGTGAAAGGACAAGGGGAAATGGCTTCAAACTAAAACAGAATAGATTAGCATTAGATACTAGGAAAAAATTCTGTACTGTGAGAGTGGCAGTGGCACAGGATGCCCAGAGAGGTTGTGGATGCCCTATCCCTGGAAGTGTTCAAGGATGAAGACTTGGAGGGGGTTCTTAACAACCTGGTCTAGTGAGATGTGTCCCTGACCACGGTGAGGGGAGCAGATCTAGATGATGTTAAACATCCCTTTAATCCAAGCCGTTTTATGTTTCCATGATTCTACAATAATTTCTATTGAGAGCAAACTTATTTCCTCCCATATGAAAACTGTGTCAGAGTCAGTGTGAGAAGTTCCTTTTGTACTTGTAAAAGATGCATCTACTGCTATGCTTATAGTGGCAGCAATCCCATTTCTAATAATGGGAAACTAGGAGCAAAATTTCTAATAATGGGGAGCTATTAGCAAACAGAGTAAAAAATGGAGGAGGACATAAAAACATCCACTGATGTGTCAAAGAAATAATATATATATATAGTTCAATTAAAAATAAATCTAATAAAAGCCACTATAGAGTATTAAAATCCCATGATTCTTCACTAGTAACTGTGGCTTATATAATTTCACTGATGTCGAAATTACTATATAAATGCACAGCATAGTGGAAATTAGTTTCATGTATTTTTCCTTGTCTAATTCTTATCCCTTTTATAAAAAATCACATGAACATACTATGTGAGGACAGGGATTCTAAGATGAGGCAGTAAAAAGTTACTGTTTTCTATAAATGCCAGCAAAATGGTAGGGGGAATATGGCCTATTGAAAAGGACAGCACCAGAAACTGCTTTCAAATTGCTACTAGCACTTGGAGGAGATATGTAGGATGATAATGTCCTTCAACCAGCAGTCTGAAAAAAAACCACTTATTGGGATGAAAATGAGCATCCTACACACTGCTGGCCTGAAAAATGGTCCTGCACACAAAGTTCAAGAAGATTACATTTATGAACACACATCAAGGTCAGGGAACAGAATGCTCTTCCCACAGAAATACTAAGAAATAAACCACAAAATCTCTGTGGTTACAGTATGGTATTTACTCCTTCCCTCCCAAAAGCAGAAACCAGTGAGCACAGATGAGGAAGGAGGCAGACAGGAGTCAAGCCCTGATCTTTCTATGGTCACCACTTTGCTTGTCCCTCAAAAATGAACAGAAAGAGTACAGGAGAGATGTAGCGTGATTCATCTATTCCACTAGTGGTTATCCAGGCATACTCTTTTTGAGAATTACCAACCAATCGTAAGGTTTATCTAGTCTCCTATTAGACCAGTTCTACGCCTGTTTTTAATTGAAAATAAAGATTAGCAAGAGAATTTAAATGTCCAACATCAGTCCTCAAACCTCAAGATATTTCCTCTTTTTTACTGAAACTTTTGGCATTCCAGATTTTCATTCTCCCAGCAATCTCCATTCAAGTCACTCCCAAATACTGGTGACTCTGCTTTGCTTCCTCTTAAATTTTGGCTTTCATACTAGAATCCAGTTCTCCCACAACTTAAGGGGCTTTTTTTATATTGGTAAGGCTTTTTACCTAATTTTTTTTCCTGATATAATGTTAGGACAGAAATATTTTACATATTAGGAGTGGTTTCCCAAATCCAAGGCAGGATGCTGTTGAAACCCTCCACTGTTCTGGAGGTGAGCCTACAAATCTCTGCAGAGCCAAGGTAATTCAGCTCTGGGACATCCCTGACAGAAGTTAGCATCTCTGAGCTGGGACAAGGAACTTTCAAAAGATAAGACATTTAAAAACTGAAGAACGAACTGTTTAGGCGTGGCACCCTGTCACCTGTGTGCCCTTTACTTCCTTTTGGGAGCACAGGTGTTGATACTGATGTGTGGTGTCAGACCTGGGAGCTACACAGATCTGTTGTTGTAAGTAGCATCTTAAACACAGTGTCAGCTTCAGATTTGTCATGTGTCCATTAAGGAACAAATGTGGTTATTGGTCTTAGAATTTGCATGCAGCCTTGATCTTCCAGTTTATTATTTTATCACTATGTAGTATTCCTCGTGTCTGCTTTGGTCAGGAAGCTTTACTCAGACTCTGATACATGCTTCAGGGAAAGCAGGAGTTCTCCAGAGAGATGAGAATTTTAGAACTGTTTTTTATTTTCTGCTTTGATAATCCAAACCTTTTCAATTCACAGATACCTGATTTGCAGCTTGTTTTCTCTCTTTTCTGCTGCAGTCACAGAATTATAAAAGCACAGAATGGTTTGAGTTATAAGGGACCTTAAGGATCATCTAGCTCCAAGTCCCTTGCCATGGGCTGGGATGCCATTCACTAGATCAGGTAGCTCAGGCCCCAGCCCAGACTGGCCTCGAACACGTCTGTGGATAGGGCATCCACAGCTCCTCTAATCCAGACTGTTCTCCGCAGCTGGAAATACACTTCTGGAAATTCACAATATATGGTGTTTTGCTACAACAGATCTGAGCCACACCACTTTGGATCTTGGGGCATTTCCTCTCTTAGGTTCTCTCTCCCTGTGCATTCACCTTATTTCACCTCTCCTCACCCCTCCATGCTACAGCAGAAACTATTACCTGCTATTCTGTTTTCCCCAGCAGGCATTACCACCCATTTCTGCAACACCTGTCTCATCCCAGCTGCAGTTTGGATGAGCAAAAGTGCTTTGGTTTGCAGTGTAGTAACTTCCTGTAGTGTCCGGATATTTCAAGTAGATTATTTTTTTTGTCTGCATTCCTGTTAAGAAGGGTAGCAGTTGAACAGGATGAGCTAAATAGTTGTTTGCACTGCAACAACAGGCTGACAGTTATGTAAAATACTTTCATGTGCAATCTCCTCTGATCCTCTGCTGGTTCAGAGGAGTATTATGGCCAGATTCAGCACGCAGTCTCTTGCAAACTCATTTTCATAAACTAGGGCACTGCTAAGCATAGAGGAGACCAAGACCAAGGTTGCTCTGTTTTTTCATCCTCAGCATTTACCTTTTCTTTCTGCTTAATCTCCTGTCTTCAGCATCTACAGCTTAATCCTGTGGGATAAGCACAAGACCTCTTTACCAAAGTGCTTCTACAAATACTGGTGATACAAATCACCTTGCAGAGGCTACTTCAGAGTGACAAGGTCTTCTGGCCAGATCAGTAGGAGTTGCTTTAGCGTATTATTCTAAAATGGGATTAGTTAAGTAACTCTACAGCCCAATTGAAACGCTGAGCCCAATTCACTTTTCTTAGCTTCCCCCTTCTGCAGACCAGCTAAATGGCACTGATTAGGCTTTCAATTGAGCATTTTCTGAAAGCTGCTCAGGTCCGTTATGGGATCATTCATGGAATTCAACAGCAAATTAATACAATGTCCAGCTAACCAGTCTGTTCTTGTGGGTAGCAGTGGTACACACACGAATATTCAAGCAACTTCTAAAATCCAGCCTTTCTGCTGCTTGTGGAAGCAGACACCTATTCTCTTGCATAGAGATAATTTACAGTCAGAGAGAACAACTATTCTATATCATCAATTATTATTATTGAAAGAAAAACAATTGCTTTCATCAAAATATACATATTCACATGCTTTCATCTAAGCAAATAACTATTTTTCATTAGGATTACCAGATTAGTTTAATTAAGATTAAAATTAATATGTGACTTTTATTAATATACATCTGTTAGAGAGCTACCTAGGAAGTCCTATTTCTCATAGTATGTACTGGAAGGATAAACATTGATGTGTGCTAAAATTAAGTGGAAAAGCACTAATAACACCCCAAAATATTCAGGAATTACAAAATATCTCACATAAATAATGCTTTTCTATTCATAGCTAGTTTTGCAATTCTTACTGTGATTTTTACCTTTAGATTTTTGACTCAAAAAAATTGTATTATTTTTAAAGCTTAATTTTACCTTTAAAAATCTATAAAATTATATGCAAATTATTATATTTTTATTTAAATGTTTTCTGTTAAATAACAGCAATCTTAATGAAAAATAACTTCAAAATTCTGGAAGGTCATCTGCATTTGTAATAGCTGTCCTCACAACAGTAAGCAGACTCTGAATTTATTTTTTTTTTTCAGAAATATTTTGTGAACTCTTCATTGCGTTTGAATTGTCTAGGCAAGTGACTCTTAGCTAACTTATTTAGAACTCTCTTTTCGTCTGTCATCTGTACGTGTTTTGCTCTATTGCATTCACTCCAGTGTTATTATTCATTTTTTCCTACTCACCTCCAAAGTAAGAGCCATCTGTCAGCTTCAGCTCCTTGTTGGACTTGGTGATAACACCAGCAACACCATGTTGAATGAAATACATCTTCTTACCCACAGCCCCTTCTCGGATAATATAATCTCCAGGTTGGAACACCTCAAATCTCAGTTTGCTTAGCATGGCAGTCACAAAATTTGGGTCTGCATTAGCAAAAAGAGGCATTGTAGCCACCAGCTTCCGACAGTTGAAGTTGACAATCTCCTAAATGGGAAGGAAACATCATGATAATAATGATCAATAAATATGTTCAATATGATGGGCATTGAAAAAAAGATATTCTGCTTTCTTAACAAAGAATTTATTTATTCTCGTACTGGACTTTCTGTGTCTATGTGCTTGCTTTTTAACATATTTTCATCTGCTTTTAGTGAAGTGATTGAAACAAAAGTGCAGTCTAACTTGTATTTCTAAGGTTAAAGGTTTTCTTCTGGTGACTTTTCATATATTATTTATTATTCCCATTCGAGTTTAAGGGGACAATATGACAGAAAGGTAAAAAATAAATAGGAATTACACTGCTTGACAACCAGATTGGCTGTTGCAATAACTACATTAAGTGGTGAAATTATGCAAGTCCTGTGTTTCCAAATATTACACCCCAAATATCTTTCTGTGTTGAACATAACCAGTGGTAATATATATTACAGTTAGCTAGTTGAAATCAACAAGAAAATTCCCTGCACAGTTTCTAATTAATTTTATTAACACACATTACTGCCCTTTAAAGAGATGTATATAACATAGACCCCTATATGCAGAAAGCAGTGCTATTTTCCTAGGGTCTTAAGGACTTCTTCTACCAAGGAGAAACTGCATTCATATTTACAGAGCACACTATGAGCACATCTACATGAAAAGATTAGTACCAAAAAAATCTGTAAATGTCCTACTTGTTTTAAATAAATAAAAAACAAAACAAAACCCCATGAACAATTTATAAAATATTTTCAAGCTCATTTTTGCAGACCTTACATTGTCTTGGGAAATTAACATGGTCAGTTGCCATTACAGATTTAACATTGTATGGAAAAACTGAGACTAATCAGTATTACACATGGAGAGGGGCTCAGGCAGGCAACATCTACTGAAGTAGCAAACCCAATATGACAGAAAGAGCAAATATAATCATCTGTATATAAATGCAATCAGAGCAAATTAAAAAAAAAAAACAAACCACCCAGCAGTCAACTGCTTTGCAGAACTAAGTATGCCTTTATTGTCAGTGGAGTACCCCTAGCATTTCTTACATTAATCAAAGGCTTCAAGATTGATGTAAAGACGACATTCCACCTACCAGTGCTCTCCTTCCCATGCCTGTAGCCCTTCTGGAAGTGGCTCTTTCAATTTCCTATTTCCTGCTGTCTCATATATCTCATATATGCCGTGCAGACAACTCTGAGCATGAAGCTCAGATATCCAGAAGCTCAGATTATCCACTGCTCAGACAAATTATTTTCCTCTCCCAGTCCCACAATGTAATATCCTGCTTGCAGACATGCGGGGGAAGTTCAGGTAATTTCACACCAAAAGCAACAAAACCACAGTGGGTTCTTCAAATCAGTTCTCTTGCATCTGGGAAAGATGTGGGAATCCCCCTCTGAAGGGAAGACATTTGCTACTGAAGCAACTAACAGGCAAGTGCATTAAGAGTGAGGAGAGTGAAGAAACAACCACCTTTCCCTGAGCAATCACAACCTTTCCAAATAAATCTGGTGGGACTTAGAAAAGTAAATTGGAACAAAATGTCTCACCAGGCACCCTATAAACTAGTCTCCCATGTAAAAAAACATGGTAAATTTGATGCAAGATATCTTGTGTTCGCCTGAATCCAAAAATTATCTCAAGTATGCGAACTACCAGATAGGTGACATTCAAATCTATGAATACTGCTGAGTCAGTAGAGGAGAAATGCCAAGCTATCCTCTAAGTATATTTTTATGAGGCAGTAAGTATCATAATGAGATTCCAACTGTCTGTCTTTCTAAAGCATGAAGAGAAGCTTGTTTTCCTTCTTGCTTAAACTCTACATTTCTTAGTAAAGCTCCAGCCATTACCTCCCTCCCAAAGGAAAATTATTTGCTTCCCCCACAGCTAGCAGTATGGTGGCATCCCATGAGGAGCCCAGACTACATCCTCTGCTCCCTGTGAGACTGCCTGGCTGCTGTCTCCACTGATGCTGGCAACAGCTATTACTTGTCTTGTCTTGCTCAGGGACTTTTCACTAGGCTAGCTGCTTGTTTTCTGCTTCTGAAAGTGAATAGCTTGTCTCGCATGCCCAGGAGGCAGAGAAAGGAAATTACTAAAGAAAGCAAAAATTGACTGGAAATTATATAGAAGCTGGTGGGAAAGCACAGAAAAGGCTGGGAGAGTAAGAAAATTCAGCTCCACTCAAGATTAGGAAGAAAGAGTAAAATAGACTTAGGAGGAGTAGTACTACGAAAGAGAGAATGGGAGGAAAACAAAAAGAAGGAACGCAAAGACCTAGAAAAAAATAAACAGAAAAAAAACAACCCAGGAAGCTTGACTTTAAAAACAGGTTGAGAAATGGAAATCGCTGAGAAGTGAGAACGCAGGAACACAAAACCTGGAGAATAGGTATCTGGAGTGAAAGCTGAGAAGTAGGGCATTTGAAGTAAACAAAAGAGAAACTGGAAAAAAATCCAGAAGTTATCTGTAACACATCTTTAACAGAATGATAGTAAAGATTATGATATATAGAGAAGGGAGACTTGAGACCTGTGTGACTCCTTTGTGCAGACCCAGTCCTACCACCCCAGAAAGAAATTAATCTCATATTGAGAATCCCAACAAAACATACCCTTGAAAGAGGATTTTCACCCTTGGAATCTCGTGTCCTCCTATGGCTCAATCTTCTGCCCACTTTTCTCTCACATTATGTAATCTGTATCTGGATATACCCATGTATACACACACATTATCCTGCTCAGCCTGAGCTGCCTAATGAAGGTACCAACATAGCTACAAAACCACCCTGCTGAGGTAATTTCAGCTGTTATTCCTAGTAATGCATTCATTTTGTTGATTAGTTTTCTGTGAAAGTTTGTGCTGAAGTACAAACTTGCCTTATTTAAGATGTTAGAAGGTGGAAAATTACTGAGGGAGAAAGAAATGTGTCATTTTTAAGTGCTTTGTTTTTCTTTAAAGTGTTCTTTTATTTAAATATGAGATCATTCAGAGCAAGTAAAATACATTTCCCTGAGTCTTAATCACAGGCAGTTCTGCAATTTCAGGTTCTTGTGTATTACTTTAAATATCATCCTGGGGAGAAAGAAACAGTAAAGATTATGAAAGTGTTTTATATAACTCAGAAAGTACTAGGAGAAAAAGTTCTGTGTTTTAAAAGAGAGGTAACAAAAGAACAAACTGAGAAATTAAGAGTTGACATTTTGTACAGAGAAAAATCTTTCACTCATATTTCGCTTTTAATTCTTTGGGAGCTAGACTGGAAACAGACTATGCTGCCTAATATGATATCTTCATTAAATGAGATTTTGTCTCACCTCTACTTGAAGAAAGTACCAAATGAAGCCTGAGGAAAGGATCAGGGAAGAAAATACCAAATGAAGCTTGAAGAAGGGATTAGTAGTGCATTATATAGCTGAAATGGTTAAAGAGCAAGAATGAATCAGACCTAGATGGTGCAAATGTTGATATATTCTAATTGCTGGTCTCTTACACAAGAATTAAATCAGAGATGCAATGGTCTGCTTTATATAAGAGATTGGTTAGGTAATTACACTGGCTTCTGCTCCTTTGTAGTATATCGGATATATTACTCATCTTGAACTTCCCGGATTTTTTTCAAATTGATGTCAAAGCATCAGATATTATCATTTTGTGTGGGTTCAGTATTTCTTGATGGCTTCTCAAGATGTTACAGAAGCAGTCACAAGCGTGTCCCAGCTGTGACTGGAGTTCTCTGATGGCATCTCTGAAAGTTTTTAGGATCTCATTTCCAGAAGATTTTTAGATGGATTGCAGTGCTTTTAGTTAGACTGACTGGAAAATCCTGTTGCCACAAAAAAGGAAAAGTTGTTGAATGATCTGTTTGTGTGAAAAGTTCTTTACTTTTTCCAGTTGAGCTAGTAAAAGGTACTACTTCCATCTACAAACTATGTTCTTATGTGTAGGCCATTTAAAACTATCTTAGCTTTTTTAGACTTCTACATACTATTGCAAAAATCTAGTGTATAACTGTAATAATGCACTTTTTTTTCAGTGTTCCTTTACATTTTGCTTTCAAAGGATGCAAAACTAAATTTGTCTTCATTTCTTGAACGTCAAAAGGAAGAAATCACTTTCCTGAGAGAACTATTTTTTCTCTTAGAAATAACTTGCAAATGAAAACTTACTGACCCATCATTAAGAGAGAACTATAGGAAAAGGGATTATATTTAGGAATTTGGGGTTGTTTGAGCAGGATAGATATATTTAAAACCAGTTTTAAGAAGCTATATTCTGTATGTTCATGATTTCCTGTAATTTTTTAACCCATTGGTCAATTATAGTCAAGTTTGGCAGAAAAGAGGCATCTCACTGATACTAAGTTCTCACAGGTTTTATGACAGCGGGCAGTCAGGAGGACTAGGATTAGTATCCCACTGAGGGAATGACTACATCATTATCTAACAACTTGTTAAATGCCAGGAAATCTACATGTGGCAATAGATGCAATATTCTTCATTTCTGGTGCACCTGAAATTGTTCAAATTGCTTTGACACATTCTGTTTAATCATCTCTACAGAGTGTATGACTTAAAAATAAATTTTGCTTAGAGGCCTTTCATGTAAGTAACGACTATGTACATTTTATCACATTGAATGGGATTGCCACAATTTTCCATTTTTTCAATTACAATGATCAGTTTCAACATAGAGACTGCTTAAATTTTACTTAGAACATGGGAACTCTTCCAGAGTACGTCTAGAAATGTGTCAAGACACACTATTCTTTTTCCTTTAGGACTGGTATTTTGTCATTTTGTCAATGTAACTGGACAATCCTTGTGTCTGTTTCAGAAAAGCTCTCCTTTGGTTGTATATTTTAAAGCCCAAGAATGCTCCGATCTCTGGTAACCAACATATCTGACCTACAGACAAATCAAAACCTGAATAAAATCTCTGATCTCTAAGGCAAAGAGAGTCCATGGAATCTCAATTGCCTTGAAAACCAGTGACCA